AGCTGAGGTCCAAACAAGGAGTGCACAGTCATCCTCCTCCTCTCCATTACACACACACACACACACACACACACACAACCCCACAAGTGTCTATTCAACTGAAAGCAAAAAAAAATCACTTCAGAAGTAAGGTTTAAAATACAGAGGGGGTAAGAAAAAAAGCACCGTGGAGGCTGGGAATGTAAACAGAGTGCTGGAGAATATGCAGGAACACTCTGGAAATGCTGCAGAGGCCGTTTCTTAGCCACATTTAAGAAACGTGAGCCTCCAGTATGGAGCCTGGAATGAACAACATACTGAAGTCTGGTGTCAATTTAAATGCATTGAACACCAGAAAACTGCCCCCAACCAAGGCTTCAAACTTGTACAGCACATTTCCACTCAACCCAACTAGATTGCCTGTCACATCTGACACGGCTCGTCAAAAGTTATCCTTCACTGCTCATGGGCAACACCGAGGTCAAGAGACCAAGTACAATGGTCCGACCCATCCCCGTTTTTTCCTTCAGAGCAGCAAATATTGAACTCTAAAATGACAAGACAGAGCAGGCTGAAACGGCTGCCAAAGAAACACAAGCTGTCCGAGGCCGCTGATCTGAAGGAGAAAAACTAGCCGATGCGTCCGTGTGTCAGGGTGAGGCTGCCTGACAGACCCACACAAAGAGGCCGGGCTGGCGCGGGGACAGGGGAGGGCTCCCGGGCTCAGACACGCCGGGCACCGCACGCCGGGTAAATCCGGGCACACGGAGACGCGTTTCCCACCTAGAAAATGCTCACTGAGGAAGCACACCGCTAACCAGCCTGAAAATGGGTGGAAGGACATTCGGACACAGGGTACAGCAGGGACGGACCTTGACAACAAGATCCTGAGAAAGGCCAGACGTGAAGGACAAACACGGTGATCCCATTCCTCGGAGGTCCCCAGACGAGCGGAAATCCCCAAGGGGCGGGGGTGACGGGGTGCAGGACGGGGAGCGCGTGTTCAACGGGGACAGAGCTCCAGTGTGGGAAGACGAACGTGCTGAAGGCGGACGGTGACGGTAGGTAATGCACATCGTGGCACAGAACCGTGTGCTGAAATACGCGAAGACGGTGGATTTTGTGGGCTGCAGATTCACAACAGAAAACTCCCACTTGCCCACCATCAGTTACATGCTAAGTAGTGGACACTGGTCATTTTTCCCAGCCACGTGCTCCCTCATGCACAGAAGGCAACCAGGTTGGAGCAGGGAGTGAAATCAGGGAGGCACTGGGGCTCTGGGCATTTCCACGTGTCTAGACTAGAAATCACAGGACACAGGTGACAACAGCAGGGGCCTGACGAAGCTCCCCACCCCACCCCACCCCCCCGAGCAGCAGAACCCTCCCCCCTCGACCTTTGCAGCCAGTTTCACCTGAACGGTGTAACAGGGGCGGGGGGTGGGGGGGAGGTATGCAATCATTTTAATGGCACTTTTTTTTAAAAAAAAAATTAGAACACAGGTATCTCATAGAGATGAATTCAAAATACAACTTCAAACCAAAAGAGGATGTTTTAATGGCGTGGCACGTTCGGGGGTCCGCCCAACCATACTCCAGACCCCTGGGTGGCAGCAACCTTTTCCAAGACATGGGGAAGCTCAGAGGGCAAGTGAGACACGGGGGTGCTCCTGCCCCCCACCCCGAATGAAGCAGAAGCACAAGCAGGGTGTGGGGGGCACCATCTCTGGCAACAGAGCTCAACGTGGTTCACGCAGGCCAAGGTTAGAGTCACAGGCAAGAGCCAGACTGAGTAGCTCTCCGCTGTTTGTGACGTCAGTCATTGGGGAGCAGAGAGCATTCCCTTCACAACAACACCCTCTGGGTTTTCTTCTGCACACCAGTCCTCCAGGATCTCTCCCCGTGTTGGGCCCAGGGTATTAAAGAACAATGTATTTCCATGTGAACCTTTCAGAATAGACCCTGTAGACCCTAGCTGGTTCCAATCTCCCACTACCGTAATACCCCCAAACAGCTTGGGGTATGGTTTCCCTACCCCAGTGTGCACAGGGACTTAAAAGTACAAATCATGTTTTAGACAGACTAGCCCCTGAGGAGGTCTGCAGCAATGCGTCTGAACTCAGTTATGATATGGTGTGTAACCATTTTAAGCATGGACCAAACAACGTTACAGGATGTTACCACGGCTTTGGCCAGAATCACACGGGGACAGAGTCGGAGCGCTGCTCCAGACGGCACGGGGCCGGCAGCGACAGAACAGGAGCCCGGACGTGCTCAGAGCCAGAGTGTGGGTCCTGGGCCCCCTAAAACCCAAATGGAGGGTTTCCTTACCCATATGGCCTGAGCGACTGTTCCAGAATAGTGTGATGGCGAGTACTCTTTGTCTACCCTCAGAAGTTGAAAGTCAGTGGCCTTTCTGGTTAGCATGGCTCCTCGGGTTATTGTGTGCGTTCGTATGGGGGCCCCCTCTCAGCAGGGCTGTGGGGAAACGAACATTTCCAACGGCCCAAGCCTGCTACTAACTTGCTGTGGGACCTTGCACATAACAACAAATGCTCCTGGTCTGACACACCCATTAGCAGGCATAAAATGACACGAAGATCAGGTTTTACCCCAACCCTTCAACAGTGGCGCCAGCTTGGACCCCTTTCCGGGGCTGTTCCATCGTACCCCAGAGCTCCGGAGGGCCCATGGCCACATCCTTCCCCACTGCCTGTGAGGGAGAGGCGTCTCCTCCACAGCTGGGGGCCAAGGCTGGCTGGAGCGGGGAGAACCAAGGCCTGGGCCCCTGGCCTCAACCGGGGAAGACACTGAAAGCCCCTCCGTGGGCTGCGACCTCAGCTCCAGGTCACAGCACAGGCCTGCCTGGTCCCCAGCCAGTCTTGTCTTTCACACTTGTTTACAGGGAGCACCTCAGGACTCCTCCCAATACACGGTTTCCATGCAACTCGGCATCTGAGCGTTTCTACGGAACTCAGACACGCCCCCTCCACCGCTGTGATCTCATGCACGTGTTCCTTCTGCGCGCTGTAAGGACCGCAAAATGAAACCTCCCCAACGGCCGAAATACCAAAGCCTAAGACACAGAGGCAAAGTGAACCCCTGCCCGCTGTCTTCTTAGTGCATTTGTTCACTGGTTCCTCTGGTACCTACTGTGTGCACATACTGCTCCGGCCCCTACAGACACAGCAGCGAGCCAGAGGGGACCCCTTTACAGAGGTTGTAGTCTAGCGGGAGAGATGGGCAAACAAATGCGCCAAGGCGTCATACTAGATCAGGGTCCTGTGCTTTCCCACAGGGCCAGACCCCACACGTTCCGGGCTGGCAGGCCGCCCCATCTGTTCCAACTACTCACCTTTGGCCTTGTAGCGAAAAATGGCCACACATACATTCACGACTGTGTTCTAGAACAACTGCATTTACAGAAACAGGCGCCAGGCTCTAGCCACAGTCCACAAACTCCTGCTGCAGACGGTTACACAGAAGGAAACAGAGAGCCACGGTGCTACGGTGGGGATGCGGGTCATTACCGCACCTGGCAGAGAACTAATGATGAGCATCCGTCCAGATGGTATGGGGTCCGGTGTTCCAGGCAGAGGGGACAATATGTGCAAAGGCCCTGGGGTGGAGTGTTCCTGGCAACTGGGAAGAATGGCCAGAAGGCTCTGCTGGAGCAGAGCAGTAGAGAAGTGAGAGGGGAGGAGTTCAGGGAAGGGTTGGGAACAGATCAGCAAATCACATAGGGCCCTGCAAAGTATTTTAAGGCCTCTGACTTTAACACTGATATTTACAAAGATTGAGGTGAAATTATTAGTGAATTGTACTGTCCTGAATCATCAGTACCACCTAAATGTTAAAAATATTTTCATACATTCTAACTCTTTGAAAATCCTAATTCACATACAGACTGTGACTCCAGCTAGAGTATTTAAATACGTCTGAAGCGTATTCCACAATAACGCCCACAGCAGCTTCCCATAAATGGAAATGCCTCCAAAGTGAAGGCCCTCATCTGCCTGTAGCCTTCTACTCACCTTGCTTTGCAACAGCCAAACTCAGTGGCACAGAAGTCGCTTAGAGTCTTGCTGCCTCTGTATTTCCAACTCTTTTTACAGCCAAGCTTCTGAGCCTTTCCTTTTTTAAAAATTTTAAAAATATTTTTATTTTTGAGACACAGACAGCCCATGAGCAGGGGAGGGGCAGAGAGAGAGAGGCAGACACAGAATCCGAAGCAGGTTCCAGGCTCTGAGCTGTCAGCACAGAGCCTTATGTGGGGCTTGAACCCACGAACCGCGAGATCATGACCTGAAGTCGGATGCTTCACCTACTGAGCCACCCAGGTGCCCCTAAAAAATTTTTTTAATGTTTATTTACTTTTGAGAGAGAGAGCACGAGCAAGGGAGGGGCAGAGAGACAGGGAGACACAGAATCCGAAGCAGGCTCCAGGCTCCGAGCTGTCAGCGCACAGCCCAACGCAGGGCCCGAACTCACAAACTGCGAGATCATGACCTGAGCTGAAGTGGGACGCTCAACCGACTGAGCCATCCAGGCGCCCCCGCGCCTTTTTTTTAAAGAACCCCCCCCCCCCCTGACCACAAGCCATCCTGATGGCTGCTCGCAGCACACTCCTGGCACAAACCTCAGACAAGGCCTCCCCTCTCCCGCACCCCGTCCCGCTTTGTAGGTCAGTCTGGGAAAGCACTCAGCTACACTGGCCTCCTTGGACTGCGGGTCTGCGCAGGGAAGGACCAGATCTTACTTGTCCTGGCCCTTGCCGGCGGCTGTCGAGCAAACAGAGAATGAAATTAAAGGAGAAAACCAAACGTATCCTGGTATTCATCATTTTCTGGCGGGAGGGTTTGAAAACAAGAGGGGTGACCCCAGGAAGCAGCTGAACCAGCACTGCCCCGATCCTTCCTCACCTGGTGAGGACACCTGATCCAGGCTGCACAACGGATCTGTAGAAGACTTTGCTGATGACAGAAAGGAGGGGCGAAGAGAGCGGTGAATACTCTCCGCTGAACCAAAATCACCTGCCACCGTGTCACCACTCTTGTCACAAAGGAGCCGTGCCCCACAATACCCACTCAGCCCCGACCCGCCCAGGAGAGGTCCAAGGAGTGCAGGAAACACCCCATCTTCCTGCTGCCCGTGGCTGAGGACACAAGAGCAGCACCCCCGCCAGAGGGACGCTGCACGTTTAACATGACTTGCCTTAAATCAATGGCTACATCTCACGCCACACGGACAGCAAAGGAGAAATGACCAGATGCAAGTCTAGCACGTGAGGTGACAGGGTGCAGGGAGTGGACACCAGGACAGGGACACGCAACGGGCCTGTATATTCTCATTCCGAACCCCCTCCAACTTAAAACGAAAGAAAGTACCGGAAACACCCGAGACAATTACTGTACTCAAACTTTTTCTCGTGGACTAACATAAATAGGCAAGGAGGTGAAGGAACAGACTGTTCGAGAAACCAAATTGGAGAGCATATAATTATGTGCAAAGAGATTATGCCTTATTTTAATATAAATAAAACTTTCTAAGCGTAAGACAAAAAGCCATGCCTCAATACACCAGGTTTTCAATAGGACACATCCAATTCACGCGGTTCTCGTAATTTCACGTGATTTGCTTTATTTTAGAAGTCTTATTATTTATACATTTTGCAACGGATGAGAGTGGAAAGGTTCAGTACGTCTTGTAATGAGAAATCTGGCCCCACGACACCACTGCAGAGTGGACGCAGAGTTCCCACCCTCTGCTTCCATCAAAAGCTAACTCCAGGACGAACTTCAGCAGACCCCTCGTGTGGAGACTATTTCCACACTCTGCTCGGGGCTAAACATTCTTCTGTGTATATACTAGTAAATTCAACAGCCTCTTTAACATCTGAGAACGAATTACTGACAAGTCATTTTTTGCTCCATATTGCAAGTCAACGTGGCAACCCTGTTTTTTTTCTATTATAAACATGTGCTATACCTCAGCTCCAAGTCGTTTTGGATGCTGATACAAGATTCATAATGGCTGTCAGAATCTGCAACTTTCCCTTTTGTTTTATGAGGTCAGGCAATATTACATGCACTGATATATTCCATTTTCCCAGCTGAAAACCTTCTCATTTGAGCCCGACAGGTTGAGGGAGTCATGATTTTGCAACCTCGCATGTGAAACACGGTATGAGGGGGCAGGTGGCTAACCCCACGTTCTCCTCTTGCTCTTGTCCAGTGGCAACAGTAAATTAAACTGTCAAAAATGGAATTGTCCTGTCATCAACAAAGCTATAGCTTCACAAGTATTGCAACATCAGATATATTTCTAATTCTGCATTTCCCTGCACCTGTAATTTCATCAGGAATTCGCACTGGACCATGGTGAGAAGCTGTCCAGGGGACACTGGCGCTGTGAATTCCTTTAGAGGTTTGACATGGCATTTCAAAGACAGAAATTAATGAACAATTCCGGCAATTTGTAATATATATAAAAAGGGTGTTCAGTGTGAGGTCCCGACCTTCAGGAGGACCCTTTAAAAGGGTAGAAATGCTAACGCGGATGTGACATGTCGTGCAGCGCAGCAGGAAGAAATTATACACAAGTTACTCTGCAAACAAAACAAAGCCATCAACAACCTTGCTGGCGCGTCGGATACACCTGAAAATTACTTAATGGCCATCGTGTCCGCTGGCCTAGATGACTATTAAAAACGTTTTAAGACCAGGAACGAAAGGCCTCTACATAGACGGTATTTAACGGAGCACAGAACTTCAGTCCTGAAGTTGAAGTGTTGTTAGAGAACCCATTTTGCATCGCGGGTGTTCTCCAAAAACCAGTGTTTCTTTCGGGGGATTCTTCTTCAGGAATTCCTTCGCCAGGAGAAAGGTCTGCCTGCTTCCTTCTCAAGATTTAAACATGGCGCCAGCTCTCCTTTCCCGGAGGACTTCCTGTTACCAGTGCCACCCACCAGTCCGACTAGACCCCATCTCCCGCAAGTTGATCCCTCACGAGTCGGGCGAAAGTCAGAGCTCCCCCCGCCTGGGTGACACCCCCACTCGGGACCCCTGTGGATGCCTGCCTGGGGTCCTCTAAGCCACCCCACGAGCATGCGCAGTAAAAATGGGCTCTAACTTGTTCCAAAAACAGCAGAAAGTCACGGGTCCGGTTGTTGTTAATTAAATACTGCAATCAAATATTGTTATAGATTATCTCGACAAAAATGCATTGCTTATCAATCATTATGCTCAAGACAAAGTTAAATTGAGATGCGCAATCATTTCACAGCTTAATACAGTCAAAGTGACTCAATATTCCTTTATTAATTCTCATTTAATATCACTTTAAATTGCTGCCATTATTATCCTACCGTAGACGAAAGATTCTGTGTAATTAGTCTGTATTAAGCCCTTTTTATTTATAAGGAGCCAAATAAACAAACCCACTTTAATTACCTGGGCTCCACAATATTGATCTGAGCATCAAAATTTAATATGACTTTATTTCAAATTTCCATATGACTAGTATTTAAATGTGTTCCAGCAATAACAATTTTGCAGGCACAAATGACTTTTCATTCAGGGTATGTAAATGACTGCCTGGCGCCTGGGAGCACAGGCTTTCTGTGCCCACAGCATGTTTACCGAGACCTCGGGGGCCTCCCCGCTCCCGCTTTGCTCCCTAATACGGCAGGAAAAGCCACCAATTACCAAAAGAGACAAAAGTCAACGAAGACAGGGAGGCTTCTCCCTCCCAAACCGTGTTCGCTCCCACTTCAGTACACGGTGTTAACGACATACAAATTTTGAGGTCATTAAGTATAAACAGGACCGGAAAGCCAGACAGGCGGGAAGGCAGGATGTGCGGACGTCAGCACGCGGAGCGCCCTCCCAGTCCCACGATGCAAGTTTCAGTGTTATTGCCTCAATGTAACTTGCATTAGCGCCTAGCACCTTGATTACACTGTTGGGCGGTAATCTTCGCCTGCACATGCCATCGTTACTTATGTCAAGCCTCTTGAGTTGTTATGAATACTATGTTGTTTTACGAGAGAGAGGAAATTAGTGCCAGTCCCCTAGAGTTTTGGGTGCTTAACACTGAAGCACTACGCAGCCCTCGAAAATCCCACAACAAATCCTTGTTCAGTGCCACACGGAGATAAGGACTTTGCAGCAACATTGCAGCATAAATAACTCATGTCCCTCTTTATTTGTAAATGTCAAAAAAAAAAAAAAAAGAGAAAAAAACCCTGCTGTTCTTTAATGTTGCTTCTCATACAAACACAGCAAACCTGTCTTTCTGGCCATGTAAGCACACACCAGTTGAGTAAGACATTCCGAATTAGCCCGCAACACCAAGCTGAGACACGAAACAAAGAAATATCCCCAACATGTGTTTGAGGATTATCGTAAAATGCTGTTTTGGATGTATTTTTAATAAAAATGAACTTATCAAATCCAGGGGAAACATGTCGTGGTAACATGAGCCTTTCCTCCAGAGGACAATAAAGTCGAAAAAATGTTGCCTCACATGGATTGCATTTTCAATGTTTTTTTAAATATGATCCACTATGTTGTTGAAAAGAGTTATTTTCTGGTATTGTAGGGATTTTTGCATTGTCTGTTTATTCTGTTTACACAGCAAATGAAAGCTACAATATGAATAGGTGAACTCCCAAGGGAGAAAGCGAAATTCAGAAATGACGTACAGATGGGGACAGGGGGCATGAAAATGGAATATAAATTAATGTGCCCTCAACAGTCACATCTGGAATAGGATAGGCCAAATAAATAATTTTGACATTAAAAGAAATTAAAGATCAAGCACTGCAAATAGAATAAGTATTTTTTTAAATAATATCATTAGTTTACAGGATGTTTGAAACGGCATTCAGAATAGAATAATCGATATATTATGCTGGCCAAAGATGGGGTCCCGATGCCTTTCTCCCTCTCCTTCTCTTTCAAGAGCCAGTAATAACCTATTCCAAACATCACTCCCACAAGAGTCTCCACGTTCTTGCCTTTTAAAGTTCTTTTGTGCACGGAAGCAGGATGCACTTCAGTTTTGCATCTTGAACTTGTTCCTGTTTTTAGTAAAACATTAAAAGTAAATCCCAGAAGGCAAATTATCACTCTTCTGCTCCACAGCTGGTAAGCTGTGCTCCAAATTTAAGGGTCCGATACCAAAATCATGATTCCATTTCCTTCTTTTCTCTTGACCCCTTTGCCATTTTGTTTACACGGCCGGAGGCAGACGGAACAAAAAGCAAAATGAGCCCTTTGGCGGCATCTTCCTCACGACCGACTGACCGGGGGAAGGGTCTGCTGGAAACGTCACTGTGAAATGATAGAAGGCTCGGGGTCACCGCCTGACAGCCAGCAGGGCCAGCTCCGGGGTGGGAGCCCAGCTCCTCCTAGAACATGCGCACAGCCCCACCGGCCCCCAGAGCAGGCAGGCCCCGGGGAGCCCCCCTTCATCACCCACCCGGGAAAGCGGGCTCCTCAACATGTTCTCAAATGAAGCCAATTTTGAAAAATGGCTTCTGACAGCCCCATAAAACTTGCATGAAGTGACCAACTGGGTGCTCCCAGGCCCCCAGCCGGCCCGCAAGTCACAAATCTGAGAAAGCAGCACATTAACTACTGCTAAATTCTAGAAGTAAAGTCCTCTGGAGCCGAGGCGAATTCGCTGTCACCAAATCTTCACCGTCCACTGCATATGTAAAGAATTTTTTTTTCAGAAGATAAAATATTTTTCTGAGTGTAACAACAGGCATGACTTATTTCAGAATTAAGTGCTAGGCTCTCTGGTGCTTTGGGAAATGTAAAGTACAATTTTTACTCCAAATCCACAATGCACTTCACTAGCTTGTGCTCTCCAAAGGCCCCGAGCAGCCCCGTAAGATGATGAGCATCTTCGAGAGTGCTTTGGTAAATCATGCAAACAAGAGGAGGAAGGAGACAAAGCCATTTCTCTCGCCATTTCATCAAATCAGTAAATTGATTTATAAACTGCTTTGGGTAGAAAATAAATA